AAGAGCGTCGACAACTCTGCAGCGCCGTTTAGACCCGGTTCCAGCTCCCTCTCCCCGCCCGTCCGCACATCATCAAGGTGAAGAGTGAGAGGAGGAATTCTGGGAGTTGAAGTCCACAAGTCTTAAAGCTGTCAAGTTACAAGACCCTTGCACCCCTAACCCTTTAGAAAAAAAACCCAGGGGTGTTCAAACTGGGCAGCTTTAAGACTTGTGGACTTCAACTCCCAGAATTCCTCCTCTCACTCTTCACCTTGATGATGTGCGGACGGGCGGGGTGAGGGAGCTGGAACCGGTTCTAAACGGCACTGCAGATTTGTCGAACCTCTTCTATAGAAGAGGTTAGAACTGGCAGGAACCCACCCCTGCCTAGATATGAAAACTATGGTGGGTGTAAAACTATGAGAACTATGGAAACAATGCTGATGTAAATGGATGACTATTGATATCTAGTTTTGGTTAGGACTGTACTGATAGTGAAAGATTAGGATTATAGTTTAGGAACACAGAGAAGATCAATATTTATGCTGTGCTTGGGCAGACCTGTTTCTATTTCATGCCAAAGAACTAATGCAATCCTATCATAACAGCACTTGGGAGAGACATTCCATCTTCCCTCTACCTTTTTTCTAAATTTGTCACTTCAGTGTGGCATTGTAGGCACTGTAGTAAAAAAGACAAAAATATATAAGACTTACCTAGGCAGAAGGGATGGAAACATTTTTAAAGTCCAGAGCAATAAAATATCAGGTGGGAGAGGCAGAATGTGGCTCTCCCTCCTCTCTGAAGCTATTTCTGTCCAAGGTCTTCTCATATCTTTCTTTGGTTCCCATTATTTTAACTTGGGAGATGTCCGATGGAATGTTTAAGCCTAGGGGACTTCAAGGAGAGGCCATCAAGTCTTATTTCTGGCAAAAGTGGATGTTTTCCCTGCTGATACTGTGCTGAAGATGAATAGCTCAGTGGCTAAGACACTGAGCTTGTCAATCCGAAAGGTCGGCAGTTTGGCAGTAAACCTAGTATAGGTATCTTGCTTGAGCAGGGGGGTTGGACTAGATGACCTCCAAGATCCCTTCTAATTCTGTTACTGTTAAATTGTTAATAGCAGGAAAACTGGAGAAGAAAACTCACCACTTCTCTTGCCTATAACCAGTGGCACACTCGTACCAGTCATGGCAACTGTACGTGGCAATGATTCAGGTGAAGATAACAAGGATAACATGAGGACTTCCTCATGAAGAGAAGGCACGAATATCACTTGTATATCAGAAAAAGGCCAATAGATATTTTAACTCAAGAGCCTGAACTGATTCAAGGCAATATTCTAGGCTAATTATATTAGTTGCTAACTCATCCACTCCAACAACAGGGCTCAGGCAGGATATTTACAAAAAAATACATTAAAAAAAAAAAAATACAAGACCTTTTGACTGCTAGCCTGTGCTGCCACCTGGTGGCTATTAGCTTAAACAGCAGACAAGGAACCTGGACGTCAGCCCTGCTGGCACCTGTTTCCTAAAGATACCCCACATTATTGACATTAAAATTATTATGACTGATTCAATGTTCAAACGTTACTTTGATAATATTGGGTGAGATTTTCAACTTAGTTCAATGCTCTCGTTTTTCATATTCGTACAAACCTTGGGAGTTGTATCACAGCTACCTTTCCTTGTGAAGGCAGATGGTGCAGTGTTGGTTATATTCACACAAGCATGGAAAAATATGAATTGACCATAAAGGATGAAAGATTGATGAAATGAAAATCACTAGTAAGATGGGTCTGCTGGTTTGGCAAACAGGTTTTTATTCCAGGCATCTGCACAATTTTGGTTCTCTAGGTATTGTGGGAAGTTATCATCCAGCCCTCTCCCAGAAAAATGAAATATCCTAGGAAATATTGAAAAGGCAGAATATTTCTCTGGATGTGAAAATAAAGAAACATGCTTTAAAAGACAGAATAGTTGCCTGTAGCTTCCTGCCCATCCACACTTTGTCAATAGGCCATTGAGAAGGCCAGGCTAGCCCATTTTACATAATAAAGACTTCCCCACTGCAGCTGTAGGGGGAAGGGATATTACTCAACTCTCCACATGGCATCTGAGAACTCATACCTGTATTCAAAACAGCCTAGAGAGTAGCCCCCTGCATGGCACCATGGTAGTCTGACAACCAATCAGAATACATTTCTTACACAGGAACAGGAAACAGAGAGGTGGGACTAAACAGGGTATAAAAAGCCTAGCAAGCCCCTTCCTCAGCCCTTCTCTTCTTCTCCACCTACATTGAAACATGTGATCACCTTTTCTATACAGGGCTCAAGCCATGCCGTCCTGTCCAACAATAAACCATCTTTCCAAGCAGCCTCCATGTCTCCAGTGTCTTCTTCCCCACTTGGAGCTGAACCCATAAGGACATTTCTTTCAACAGTATCTTTAAAACATAAGCCAAATTGTCTCTAGTCTTCACGAGGGCCAACCTTCCCCACAGCAACATATAGACAGGAATCCCACAGCACTTTTTAGAAAGATTCACCATCCCCAACCCCAGAAAGTAACATATTGGCAGGATAGATCCACATGGGGATTTAAGGGATCTCAAAAGTACATCAGTCCATTGGATCCCCACATTAGTACCAGGTTGAGCAGCCAAGCCAGGTTCCTTCAGCTTCATTAAATAAAATTATAACAAAACGTCTATTTTCAGGTGTGGACTGCTGGGGGTTCGCACAGGTTCGGGCGATTCTCTAGCTAGGATTCTGCCCAGTTTGGCAAAGCCCCAAATATAACCCCTGGCTGGCCTCTCCCACCCTGCCCTACCCCTCCCACCCATCCTATATGTCATATACAGTAGATGTGAAAAGCCTGCATATCCTTGTTAAAATGCCACATTTTTGAGATGTAAAATAAATCAGACCAAGGGAAATCAGAATTTTTTCACTTTTAATATAAGATATAAGCTGTACAATTCAACTGAAAAACACACTGAAATCTTTTACGGGGGGGGGAATAACAATAAAGTGTACAATGACACGGGTGCATAACTATTATGATGAAATTATTTTCGTCTGACGATTGGTGCTGATCGATCATTGGTTACAGTTGGACGCAGCTTGACAGTGGCAAATGGGTTGGTACCTCTAAATGGATGAAAACGAAGTGAAATGAGTTCAATCGCTGGGACAAAAGATAACATCACATCTTCAAGTTGTCAAGTTTGAAAAATGCTGCACTAAAGTGTAAGAAATGTATCCGTGACCCATTCCTCCTGAAAATCCCTGTGGCATTTATAGCCAGCTGGCTGTGAAATGCTTTCTAACAGTTCAAGGTGTTCCTGATGCATATTTAGAATAAAATAAACAAGCTGAAAGGGACCTTGGGGGTCTTCTAGTCCAACACCCTGCTCAAGCAGGACCTTTTGCTATTTCAGACAAATGTTGTCTTGAAAACCTCCAGTGATGGAGTCCCCCATAACTTCTGAAGGCAGCCCATTTCACACATTAATGCACTGATGGGAAATTTATTCTATTTTTAGGCTGTATCTCTCTTTTTTAAGGTTTCATCTGCTACTTCTTGTTCTGCCTTCAGGTGCTTTGGAGAATAGATTGACTCCTTCTTCTTTGTGGCAGCCACTCAAATATTGAAACATTGCTATCATGTCAACCGTCTCTCTTTTTAATACCACCCCCCCCAAATTCTAAGATTAGAGAATGATTTAACAGCAACTGATGCTCTTACTAAGCAAGTCTCAAGCCATACAATAAATGACAATTGTTTAGAAAATAGGTGAAAGTGATTCTGGTCATTTAATTTAAAAAATCCCACAACATAAAATTATAGCGCACATATACAAAACAATGGTGCATTTGATCTTGCCTAATCTTTCAAGGGAGTGAAAAACATGAGATATAAATATTTTACAATGCAATCCTATAGCCATGGTACTGTACCCTTCATTCGTCAGCTTCCAAGAGAGTGAGCAAATATAATAATTGTGACATTAATATCACGAGCAAAACCGCAGCCTTAATAGGGCAGAAGATGAAAATATACAGCAGGCTAAGTCATTTAACCTGATTTAAAGAAACTCACTATTTAAGAAAGCCACAATCCAATCTAAAAAGACTGAAAGTGTGGCTAGGACACTTATGTTTAAGGAGAAGGATCCCTACATGAAATATGAGGCTCATTGTTTTGTTGCAGGGCACTTTCATTTTAGAAGGAATTTGGAGACGATCTTCAGTGGAAGAAGATGATACAGGGAGAGGGATTCCATTCATTAGGTAGGTTAAAGCAGCTATTTCAATCAGCAGGATAGAGATCCCTGATGGCGAACCTATGGCACACATGCCCAAGGTGGCTCACAGAGCCATGATGCCTGGCACGCACGCCATCACCACTTCCTCTTCTAGATTTCTGGGGCACATGTGCGCGCGATGATCAGCTGGCTTTGTGCGTGCAGCAGTGCCAGAAAGTGGAAGAACCAGTCTTCCGTTTCCTGGTGTGAACATGCATGCCAGCCAGCTGATCCTTGTGGGGGCAGGTGCACCAGTCACTGGAAGGCTAGCTGGCGGGTGTGCATGTTAGGGCTGGAAACTGGTGGTTCATTTTCCAGTGTGCACATGCCACCTGTAAGCTCTTCTTACGGGTTGCGGCCGAGACAAGCGTGCATTCTCCATCATTGATATAGATCCAGGATGGTGAACCTATGGTGAGGCATTGCCCTGTCAACTGAGTTCACCCTTTTTAAAAGCCATTTTTCACCCTCCCCAGGCTTCGGAGGCTTTATAGGAGCCTGGGGAGGGCGAAAAGGGCCTCCCCGCCTCCCCCGGAGGCCCTCCGGAGACTTCAGGAGCTTCCCTGATGCCTCCGGAGTGCAAAAAACCATCCCTATGGGCAAACTGGAAGTTCGTGAACGAACTTCTGGTTTGCTCATAGGGTCAGTTTAAGCCCTCCGGAGACTTCAGGGACCTTCAGGAGGCTTCCCTGAAGCCTCCGGAGGTCTAAAAAGGACCCTGTGAGCAAACCAGAAACCACTTCCGGTTTGCTCGTAGGGTCATTTTTTGCCCTTCGGAGGCTTCAGGGAAGCCTCCTGAAGGTCCCTGAAGCCTCCAGAGGGCCTCCGGAGGGCGGGAAAGGCTGTTTTTGCCCTCCCCGGGCTTCTATAAAGCCTCTGGTGCCTGGGAAGGGCAAAAAAAGCATGCAAAAAATGGGGGGAGTGCCTCTCATGCGAGCATGCGCACTGTGGGGGGGACCCGTGTGTTGCATTATGGATGCGGCACTTCCTCACACGACCCCCCCTGTGCTCCCCCTCCCCTTTATGGCACGCGAGCCAAAAAATGTTCGCCATGGCTGCTATAGATGCTTCCAGCTACCAATGAGCTAGACAGCCACAAGGTGGCAGCAGAGAATTGGTTAAAAATGTTGGGTTCATTCTAATAGCCCTCCAGATTTTAGCACTCCAGAGCAGGCAACCCTTACTTAAAAGACACAATTTTATTTATTCTTAATAAAATGTTGTTGCTAGATGAAGGGAGAAAGACATGTAGGAATTTTAATTTTTAATTTTATGTTTTGCCTCTTGATTGCTTTAGATCATAACCCCCATCTTTTGCTCCACTTTCAAATAGCAAAATGGCTTGGACCAGTCAAGCACTGAAATAGTTCTTAGAAACTAAAGTAAAATTAGTTTGCAAAATGAACCTTCTTTAATTAAATTGACATTGGTGCAATTTGGGTCACCTGAACAAATCTTTATATGTATACTCAACCTCTTCATTTTGTTTCCTGTTTGAAACAATAATTAAACTGACTTTAATTATATAAATAAATGATAATTTTGAATGATCTAAATCCTGGTTTACTTCAAAGTGGTTGCATTTGCAATAGTATGAAGGCAGAAATGTTAGTCGTCATTAAACAGACGTAAAAAGTGTATCTAGAAAGATGTTTCTTTGTTATTTCTTGAATCTTAATAAATAACTCAAGAAAAAATGGACAACATTAAGTTCAAATTTAGAGAAAGTGTACCTGGGAAAGAGCTCTGGAGGATGATCCTGTGTTGCTGGCTTCTGCAATAAATCAAAAGTATGTTAAAGCTGGGAAGGAATCCCCTTATAAATATTCAGAAGAGGAAAAAAGCATGAACACAGCAAATGCATACACGCAGATGACTCCAGAACTGCTTTTCTATGAGGCTAGTATATTTTTGGCTCAAGGGATCCACAATATGACTCTTTCCCTGGTGGGATTTAATCACACACTTTGCTCAAGCCATCTTCTTTCCCAGCTGTCTGGCAAATGAACACCCCCACCTCTGCTTCGTTCCACGGTATGCATGAACAGGTAGTCCAGAGATCTATCCCCAGTCCACCTAAGTCCCAACAGTAGGACCATAGCACCCAGTGGTGGGATTCACATTTTTTTTACTACCGGTTCAGTAGGCATGGCTTGGTTAGCATGGCAGGGGAAGGATACTGTAAAATCGCCAGTTTCTCCCCACTTCAGAGGCAGGTTACTGCAAAATCCCCATTTCCTCCCGATCAGCTGGGACTCAAGAGTTTGAGAATAGATGGGGTGGGGCCAGTCAGAGGTGGTATTTACCGGTTCTCTGAACTACTCAAAATTTCCGTTACCAATTCTCCAGAACTGGTCCGAACCTGCTAAATACCACCTCTGATATGACCTTTCCCAAATAGAAATGTGACCTTTATCATCTTTGGAAAGATGTAGAGCGTTTTTTTAAAGGAAGAACAAAACTGGTCTTTACGTTTTCTAAGGCCACTTCTATTCTTGCATTCCTCAATCAATGAAAAACAGTTTTGAAGATTAGTCTCAGTTTCCTGGACATAAATTGCTTCAACTTCTACCCTCCAAACGACACTATAGGGCACTGCACACCAGAACAACTAGACACAAGGACAGTTTTTCCCCGAATGCCATCACTCTGCTTAATAACTAATTCCCACAACTCTGTCAATAATTTACCAAGAATTACTATTCTTCTTCTCTTCCTTCCTAGTATATATCTTTTCCCACTTATGACTATAACCATGTTGCTTGTATCTTTCAATTTATATTGTTTTTATTTGTTTCCTAGTATGATTTGATAGCTTATTAGTAACCTTGACTATCACTAAGTGTTGTATCATTTTATTCTTGATGAATGTATTTTTATTCTCCTTATGTACGTTGAGAGCATATGCACCAAAGACAAATTCCTGGTGTGTCCAATCACACTTGGCCAATAAAGAGTTCTCTTCTCTTCTATTCCTTCAGGTTCTGCTATCCTAAGAACAAGAAGCAGTGAATCACAATCCTGGCCCAAGCTGCTGGAGGTTCTAGGGGGATAACATTTTCCCCACACTATGGAAGAAGGAAATAAAATGAATTACTTGGAAGCATGTACCCCTGCCCGATCCACGTTCTTGTTTTGTGTACATCATATGCAAAAACAAACGAAAAACCCAGCTGTTCTTACAAGGAGGATACAAGGGCATAAAGGACCCTTTCTCCTTGAAAGACATGTGGACAGGGGGTGGGACACATAAAGCAGGAATTTCTGGACTGTGTGCAAATTTTGCAAGGGCTTAGTATTTTTAAAATGACAGATTAAATCAGAGGTCTTCAAACTCGGCAACTTTAAGACTTTTGGACTTCAACTCCCAGAATTCTCCAGCCAGCTGGAGAATTCTGGGAGTTGAAGTCCACAAGTCTTAAAGTTGTCAAGTTTGGGGACCCCTGGATTAAATTAAAGATGGTTTCACAGACAATACAGGTGAGCCAGAAATATTGGTTTTTTATGTGGAGAGATTTGGTTATGTGAGCAACTTCCTTCTCGTTTCACTTTGTTGAGACGTATATACACACTTCAAAAAAGAACACTCACTACACCCAAGGATATGTTCACATGAACAGCACTGGATACTTTGGTTAATGGCTATTCCAATATGTGCACTCAAGATTCTGGGCTTATTTCAATTTTGTACAATTTACATAATGTGTGTAGTGTAATACTTTTTGTGCTTTAGTATGTTATGGACCATTCCAGGAGAATGGGTGGTTTTAATCAGATTGATCCTTCTTGGGTGACTGCTCTCCAAGTTTTTACAGCTACCGTTTTTTCCAGCTTTGTTGTTGGCATGTCTTTTAATAGATATACCCTGGATGGATAAAGAAATATACCATATTTTTCGGAATATAAGACGCACCCTTTTCCTTCAAAAAAGAGAGTAAAAATCTGGGTGTATCTTATACACTGAATATAGCATTTTTGGCATCCCGAAACCCCACCCACTTCACCAAAATGGTCGTGCATAGCCTTTAGGAGGCTTCCAGAGTGCTCCTGGGGGCTGGGGAGGGCAGAAATGAGCAAAATATGGGCAGTTTTTTGCTCGTTTTTGCCCTCCAGCCCCCAGGAGCACTCTATAAGGCTCCTAAAGGCTATGCATGCCCTTTTTTGACAAAAAAAATGACCCATTTTCGCAAAAGAAATGGGCCATTTTTGGGAGATCTGCAGAGTGCAAAAGAGGTTTTTGCCTCTTTAAAATCTTGATGCGTCTTATACTCCAGTGCATCTTATACTCCAAAAACTATGGTGAATCTTCTTTTCAGAACTTGCAAAGTTTTAAAATGTATTTGCTTTGATGTTTGATGTGATGAGCAGGAAATAAACCTCATTTTTCAGAAATATGGAGAACACTTCTCTATGGAGTGTTCACATATGTTAAGATGGAAACAGAAAGCTCGGGCGTGCTCCTCCCAATCATATATGTTTGGTGAATTTATCTGAAGAAATCACAGAATTCTTTTAATGAGCAGATAAATATATTTGTGGGGTCAAACTGCACGTAAGTCAAAATGCATCACTTCAGATCCATGGATCACTGTTGAATTCTAAAGAACAGGTGTGAAGGATGATAAAGCCCATGATGGGTCAGGCAAGGCCTTCCTTGTGATCCCAAGAAAAATTACCTACAGAAGCACTTGCAAGTCCTGAGAAAAGCACTCAATGTGGGCAATGCAAACTCTTTTAAAGGAAAAAGTGAGTCCTCGGACTTTGAGGAGCCCGGGGATGCATTTTAAGATCTCATCCTAGGCGGAGTGGAGTTCCCCATTTACAAAGTAGCCATCAGTGGAATCAGTCATAAACTGTTTTCCAGAAGGAAAGGCACTGAGGATGTTTCCTGTCAATATCTCAGTGTTTCTTCAACGTTGGCAACTTGAAGGTGTAGGGACTCCAATTCCCAGAATTCCTCAGCCAGCATGCTGTCTGGGGAATTCTGGGAATTGAAGCCCCTACATCTTCAAGCTGCCAAAGTTGAGAAATATTACTCTAGACCACCAACAAACTTTCTCCTTTCTGTGGCTTTCAAAAACAATGGAGTGTAAATAGGTAATTCAAATGTTGCTTTCCTCATGTCAGAATTAAAGAACACTGAAGCACATTTTTTAAACCCTTCATGTGAACACAACCTAATTCTCAATCCACAGCAAACAATAAACAACAACACTGTTTTATATTTCTGAAGGCAGGGACTACCATAATACTAGCATTCTTTTATAAATTAAACCCCTTTGGAAGAGGTACTCCAAAGTGCCCAACCCAGAAAGAAAGCCAAGGAAGGCATCTCCCCAGCTGGCCAATTCCCATCACCACCATCCCATTCCATGTTCACCACTCAAGGGTCCTACTGTTAGCAGAAAGAGCTGCTGCCCCGGAGCCACCAGAAATCAGGCTGGGATGTCATGGAGAAGAGGAGAGAACTGAAGGGACCCTAAGAAGGGAAAGAGAAGTGACTGAGATTCTCCTGGTGGGGCAGAAGAACAGAGGACCAAAATTGATATGAAAGAAGGGGGAACTGGATAGAAGCAAAGAAGGATGGGTTGTTATGCTTCTACATAAAAAAAGGAAGGAGAACGACAGCTTCAAAAAAGGTTGAAAACTTCCTCATAGTAGGGACTGTAAATTATTATATCAAGAAGAATTGGAGAAGTTGTGGGAGGTTATGGACAGACTATGACAGACAGAATTCACTGAGTATGAAAAGGGAAATTCCTTAACCATTTGGGGTCAAACTAGGTGTGATTTTGGGAACACAACTAACATGCAAGATTTGTCCCTTTGTGGAAACAACAACTTTAAGGGAGCAATTTTCACTTTAGGCCACAGCAAGGAGTAACTAATGAACTCTGCCTTCCTATCTCATGCAGGCTTGCTACATCTTGTGGGAAGGGTACTGTATGTGGGGGGTGTCTTCTCCCTGCTAGTACTAATTGTGCTTTCCATAAATGCCCATGTTTATTGTCTTCAGTGCAATGGTAAATTTATGCAATGGGTCCAATAAAGAGTTCATATTAAAATATTATTTTAAGGCAGCTGCTCTCTTTGCCTCAATTGGTGAGTTTCACAATCTAATGGCTATCATATATCCCATAGCAGTATCCCTTCCAAGCCTGATATTCAGTTTAATTGCAGGTATGCAACTGAGGATATGATGTAACACTGCTTTACAACCTTTGGGATATGATCAAGCATAACTTGCTGTGCCCTCAAACTCTGGAAGTACCTTATCCTGAACTGGATGCTTATATTACTGCCCCACTTTCACTCCAGGGAAGACTGGCGTGCCACATTCAGTAGATGAGTAACTATTTTTGTACACCAAACTCTACCAAATGAGCAACTACATCCTTTAATGCATAGCCTAATTTCTACTTTTGCGTCTCTAATCTCTAGTGAGAAACATCTAATGTCTCTAATAAGGAAAAGTAATATGGGATGATCAGGAGATGTTGGGTCTACCTTACCCACCAGTTTCTCCCTACAGTAGAACAAAGGGAAGGGCCAGTAAAACATTTCCCATTCATAAGCTGTTTGTTCCCAGTGGGGGAGAACATTCTTGTTCACAATGTCTGCCTCATAATCAACATCAAGCTACCTGCAGAGCTGTTTGGTGCTGGAGGGAGAAGCTAATTTTTACAATATAGTGGTTGCCAAAAAAATGCCTACTCCTACTTAAACCAATTCAAAAATGTTGCCCAGATTGTGTTTGTTTTCCACCCTTTTGTGCTCTAATTAATTAATTAATTAATTAATCTAATTAATGTGGGTGATCATATGATTGTCCTTATTTACAAAGCAGCTGCAGCTAGGTTGGTTCTAGCACATTTTCAGTAAACATAGGAAATTGTATGATTTGAACGCAAGCCAACTCTTCTACTGCACTAAAAAATGTCAGGAAGATCCCTGTAGAATAAGTTTCTCCAACCTGGTGTTGGGGCCCAAACTACCAGAGTTTTCAACCAGGATGCATTCCTAACTCCTTTGGAAGGCCGTGCTGAGGATATCTGCTGCAAGCCATCATTCATTCAAATTTATTGATCTGTGAATAAATCTGGAGTTCTGAAAAGATCCTGCAGTATTACTCATTCATATAAAGCTTTACCTTGGAGCCCATGCTGGGAGTTGCAGCATTAGATATGCTGTTTGAAAGAGTGCCTTCTCCCACTGAAGATGGAGAAGAAAGTGAAGACTGAGGCCTACTGGATTTCTGCCAATAATTATCTGGCGCTGAAGCAGTAGACTGATCTAGAAGATTGTCCACACTACGACTGCTCCTCAGAGGGAAACCTCTAAGCAAGAAAGGAGAAAAAAGTTGACAAGGAAATGAGTAAACATACTGTTTTATATAGCACTTAGCAATAGCACTTAATTTATATACCCCTTCATAGTGTTTTTACAGCCCTCTCTAAGCGGTTTACAGAGTCAGCATATTTCCCCCAACAATCTGGGTCCTCATTTTACCCACCTCAAAAGCAGTGGTGGGATTCAAAAAATTTTACTACCGGTTCTGTGGGCATGGCTTGGTGGGTGTGGCAGGGGAAGGTTACTGCAAAATCCCCATTCCTTCCTGATCAGCTGGGAAATGGGAGGCAGCGAATAGATGGGGGCGGGGCCAGTCAGAGGTGGTATTAACCAGTTCTCTGAACTACTTAAAATTTCCACTACTGGTTCTCCAGAACTGGTCAGTACATGCTGAATACCACCTCTGCTCGGAAGGATGGAAGGCTGAGTCAACCTTGAGCCTGGTGAGATTTGATCTTCCCATACTACCCTTTAGCCAAGATTTGAAGCTTACTGTCTCATTGTGGAATGAAATTCAGTTTGAATTTGCACAGGCTGGCATCTGAAATTGGCTTGGTTCAGAGGTGGCATTCAGCCAGTTCTGACAGGTCTTGGAGAACCGGTAGCATACATTTTGAGTAGTTCAAAGAAAAGACAAATAGGCTGGCCCCGCCCTCACCACCTCCCAGCCTCCCAGCTGATCTTCTTTTGTTGCCCTGAAAATGAGAACGGAGCTGGAAAGCAGGTTAGTGGGGTGGGAATGGTGATTTTGCAGTATCCTTCCCCTGCCATACCCACAAAGTGACACCCACAAAGCCACGCCCACAGTACCAGTAGTAAAAAAGTTTGAATCCCACCACTGACTTGGTTACAAATTCCATTTTGTGTCAACTCAACACAATGGAAAGTGGTACAGCAATACATGATAGGAGATAAGATGGTTATACATTCAAGTTCATTTAGCCAAGTTTTCTTAATCTGCTGTGTCTCCTAAACTTCACCACATATACAATTCAGGTTTGTAGTACTGTACCTAGGGGTTGACTCCTCCAAAGGCTTTACATAAGCTTCAGGAAACCAGCCACTCCTGAAATCAAAGGCACAAGGCAAGAGTCACTTTTGATGTGGAACCAGGAAAAAATCATGGTCATAAATTTACATTTAATTAAAATTGAATTGCAAGAATACAATATATATTCTTGATGTCTTATACAATGCTGAAATAGTAAATCTATACCTGTGTTATTCCTGTCTATGATTTGTAAAGCAAAATTTTGATTTCGGCTTTTCTTGACAGAGGGCAAGAGGGATATCTTTCGAGCAAAGCTTTTGAAATTTTTCAATGATATAAAGTTCCAGAATTTTTGAAAAGATAAGTTGAGTCACCACTGTTTTACATACAAAAACACTAATTGTTTTATTAAATAGAAAAACAGAGTTGGAAGGGATTTTGAAGATCTCCTAGTCCAACCCCCTGCTCAAGCAGGAAATCCTATACCATTTCAGACAAATGGTTGTCCAATCTCTTCTTAAAACTTCCAGTGTTGGAGCATCTCCAGCTTCTGGAGGCAAGTCATTCGACTGATTAATTGTTCTAAATGTTAGGAAATTTCTCCTTGGTTCTATGTTGGTTCTCTCCTTGATTAGATTCCATCCATTGCTTCTTGACCTGCCTAAAGGTGCCTTGGAGTCTAGATTGAACCCCTCTTCTTTTAGTAGCCTCTTAAATATTGGGACACTGCCATCCAACATCCCTGATCCTTCTATTCATTAAGGAACAATTAAAATAAAATATTATTATATTTAATAATTTTAGCCTTCTGCCCCATTACCAATTATTCCATTATGAGAAGATCTAGGAGCTGCATCAAAGTTTACCAGGCCCACCATTTGCCATCCAACCCCATTTGACAGAAATAAATCTGATCAGACTTACATTGATGTGTCTTCCAATTTGCCATACAGCCAGCCATTTTGAGCTTCTGGTAGGAGGAGAGTAACCACATCTCCAACGCTAAGTGGCAAAAGAGTCTGGTTTGAACCCGTGACATAAGGCACAATTGCTTGCATTTTGAGTGGATGGCTGCTGTTGCCCTCTTTATTGTCAGCCTCTGCCCTCCATGCTGCTTGTTCTCCGAAGGAGGTGGAGCGAGAAAGACCAGAAGCAGAGCCTGTGATACATGAAAGACCAAAGCTCTTCATGAACTTACACTGCTGTTCCAAAAGAGACCCAAACTCCATAATAATTGGTTCATAAGATGTGTCACCTGAGGCAAAACTGTTGTTCTGACCTAGGCTTCCTGACACAGTAAAAGTCACATGCTTAGTCCAGGAGTAGGTTGCTGCCGGTATTACTGCCGGTTCGGTGCGCACACAATTTTGCTCGCTTCGCTCGCACGTGCATGCACAGTTACCCATAAATAGGTCTGTGCATGCACAGAACATTAAAAAATGAAGAAAAACAAACATGCCATGCTGATCAGGGTTGCCGGTTGTGGCAACCCAGGCCGGCAAACCACTACCAGTTCAGCTGAACCAGTCCAAACCGGTAGGAGCCTACCTCTGGCTTAGTCCCAAAACCCCATTTTATTTAAATGGCTGTGAATTATGCTCATTCACAGTCCATAATGATCACAACTAGTCTGTTTAGAGTCCGACAGAAGTCTGCCACAGTCTTTTAAGATAAGGCTGATAAGCACCCACCTTAATCTCCCTTGAAACCTTGCCAATTATTTTTGCAAGGCCAAATAGAACATTAGAGTTTAAACCAACCAGAACGAATAAAGTTGCTTCCTGCAAAGGCTCACATCTGTTTGCTCCTCTTTTATGTCTTATGGGAGGGGCCAATCATCTCCAAGCCTTGCTCCTGAGTCGCCCCTTCTGTCTTAGTTGTTCTTGCCTTCTGGCAGCTCTGCGCATGTGCACACTGGGAACAGGCTCTCCCTGTTCCTCTGCCTCACTGATGTCAGACTCTGGAGGCTCTGGAGGCAGCACATAATTCCCAGATGGCCCTGGCTCCCTCTCTGCCTCCGACGCAGAGCCCTTGTCCGAGCCTTCCCCAGATTCCAGGACTGGCCCATGTTCCTCCCCAACCTCCTCACTATCCAAATCTGATGTCAGCTCTGCAGACCACTGGTGGACCACAACAACTATTTGGTGTCTGTCTTCCTTACTTTCTCTCCCAGAAGTTAAATGAGTTCCATTTCTGTTAATGTCCAAGACATTCTCAAGACTTGGTTATGCCAAGTTTGGGGATGATATGTAATTGCTATACTTACTTTCTCTCTTTGTGGTTTTTATACTCTTTTTTAAAAAATAATGATTGTCCATAATTTTATATTGATTATTTTTATGATTTATTTTATATTATTGCTTTATTTGGTTATTGTGTGCCGCCCAGAGTCATCTGATGAGGTGGGCAGCTACTGTATATAAATTTGATTAATAAGTACAATTCATTTGTCATAATGAACAAGGGCCGTGGTGGCACAGTGGTTAGAGTATAGTACTGCAAGCTACTTCTGCTGATCACCGGCTGCCAGCAGTTTGGCAGATCAAATCTCACCAGGCTCAAGGTTGACTCAGCCTCCCATTCTACCAAGGTGGGTAAAATGAGGACCCAGATTGTTGGGGGCAAAATGTTGACTCTGTAAATTGCTTAGAGAGGGCTTTAAAGCACTGTAAAGCAGTATATAAATCTAAGTGCTATTGCTATAATTGTTTTCATTATATTCATTTTTATGTAGTCCCAAATCACTTTATTTGATCCTCACAATAATCCTCACATTTAAATCTCGACAGACTGGTTGAAATAAACAGAAACGTCCGTATTTCACTCGCAACAAGGAATCTCTACAAAATGTGTTTTAGCAGAGATTCTCAATCTCGTAATCCCTATATAATCCATGTATAATCTTACCAAGTGAAGGAGTTCTTGGCGTTGTTTTCCTTTTTGTTTCTGGCTGAGCGGATGGCGTCATCTGCAGAGGCTCTTGGGAGAAGCTCTGTCTTGCCATAATTGGACCAAAATCGGTTGGAAGCCTTGGGAGCTATACCAAAAGAAGGATAGCAAGAGTGAATCCTTCCAGTAAAGCATTCAAGAAAGCAAATTCCATTGCAGTGATCAAGATATTCTTACACCCAAAATTGCCGTATCTTCTGTTGGCCCAGACTAGGAGGTTTAGGCCCACTATTTCCTTTATGTTCTTCAATAATTTTAAAGATATTTAATTATAATTTAAAATTAAGTTATTGTTAATTAGTTTAATATGTAATTTAAATTAAATTATGGGTATACTTCTCAATTAGTGCTGGAAAAATAAATTCCCTATTTTTTTCTACAAGTTAGACAAATACCAAGATAGAAAACCAAGATGCACAATCATATAGCAAGCAAAGTTTAGAAAGTGGGCCAATGATAAAACTGGATATGAACATTATTATTCCTTTCAGTACAGAAAATTCACAATACTACTAGGATATGGCTAAATGTAGTACAGTATCACAAGTGACAAACTACAAAATGATTTTCTACACCCCTTTATTGCTACAGAAACAGTTGCTACTTGGTTGTCTAAGTATCATCTAGGTCCGTGATGGCAAAGCTATGGCACACGTGCCCGAAGTGGCACATAGAGCCATGTCGTCTGGCATGCAAGGCACTGCTCGTTCCTCTTCCGGGTTTCTGGCACGCATGCACGCACGATGATCATGCATGGCCTTTGTGCATGCAGCATGCAGAATTGGTCTTCCATTTTCCGCCGTAAGCATGTGCGCTGGCCAGCTGATCGTCACACGCACATGCACTCCAGTAACGGGAAGGCTAGCTGGACGGCACACATGCGCAAGGCGGAAATCAGAAGTTTATTTTCCAGTGCATGCATGCCCCCTGGGCAACTCTTCTTCTGGGTTGTGGCCCACACAGGTGCACACCCGCGCGCACTCCATTTTTGGCATGCAATGACGAAAAGGTTCACCGTCACTGATCTAAGTAAAATGAGCATATACAATATAAACCTATGATTTAATAATTACCACGGTTTTGTGTGCAAAAAAGACTATAATCCACTTGCATGTCTAAAAAGATACATTTATAAATTATATGTATTTGGGAAAAATCTAAGCCCGGGAGCATCAACAGCATTTCTATGTGTGCATTACGTCTCCCTCTCCCTGCTATAGCCCAATGAAAGAAACTATAAGTGAACATTAAAATGTTTAGGTGATTAGAGCAATATGCCTATAATGTTTGCTTAATTAGCTTCTTTATATTTCTGTCCCATAGTCAATTGAATTCCTCTGCAACAATCTGTGTGGTTAACAAAAAAAAAATACTGAAAAGCAGGAAAAGCCTCATTTTCATCACCACCCCCATTTGCTTTGTATCTAATATCCTACAAAAATAATTTAGTGTTAGGAGAGTTCAGGTTTTTCAGATGCTGCAGAGCTACCATGCACTCTTATAGTGTTGTTTTTAACCATTTTTGGTTGAGGCTGAGAAAAGCAATAATCTAAGAACAGAACCTACAACTAGATATAGATACTTCAGGGGAGCATAAATGAAGTTTAAAGTTGGCTCCCTCTTTGCTGGAAAAGAGATGTATCCATAGCTCCCTCCCTTTGGGAACCTTAGTTCCCTAGACACCTGACATGCTGCTCCCCTTGAATCAACTGTCAGTCAACTTATACTTTCAGGAGGAAAGGAACACAAATTCTGAATACCTACACCAACTATAATTTCACTTATTATGCTTTCCCCAAACTATCCTTTCTTTTGCATCTTGGAGCGAAGGGAAGGGACGCGACAAGCGGGTATGTAAAACAGCAACCTTTATTGAGAACAGAGTGACTACGATTCAACGTGGCGTGGTTCGCGCCAAACATTTATACC